AATGTGTCAGTATTTTGGGGGGAAAAACACGGGACACAAGAAGGAACGCAGTACCATCAAAACAGCATCGGGCACCCGGCCTGGGCTCTGCCGCCAGGTAGCTGGTGTGAATCTGACTCCTGCCGTTTCTTTGGGGGAGGCCTTGAGAAGGTCACCCAGGGCCTTCTGCGCCCTGGCTCCCCTCCTTGTACGAAAGAGGGTCGTGGGGCGCCTGTTTCTTAAGCTTGCTGTAGACGTGAAATGATTGGATTCACACAAAACATTCAGAACGGTGCCTCACACCGAGTAAGCACCTAGTAAATATGAGCTGTTACTGGCAGTGCTACGCTGATCAGTGGCTGATGGATGACTTCTCACCAACGAGCTGAGGTGGACGGTGCGGCGGGAAATCTCAGGTGTTGGATTCGCTAGTCTGCTGTGACTTCACTTTGCTTCCTCAGGAAGTCTGCCCAGTTCTCATTTTTCCTGCCTACAAAATGGGAGGAAATAATAATAATAATAATTAAAAAATTAAAAATGTGATTTGGTGACTGTTCTATTCAATGTTACGGCAAGTGGCCCAGCGGGATATTCTCCATGCCCTCTGGATACGCTGCTCAGCACAGATGCCTGGGGCGGGGTCCCCTTTGGCAGAGGAGGGCCTCTGGAAGAGCGGAGAGAGGCCCAGGAAGGCATTTCCCTCTGCTGACTGTGGGGAGACAGAGAGCCTGGCCCTGGTGAGTGGAGACAGCGCTGGGACCCGCAGACGGGCCAGCAGAGTGCAGTGACCAGCGACCAGCCCCGGAGCCCTGAAGACTCAAGAAAACTGGCAAACAGGTCATAGCCAGCAGGTCCTTGGGCTTGGATGCAGAAGCGGCGGATGGGAGGAGACACAGAGCTGGGAAAGCAGGTCCCAGAAGGAAGGAGGGCTGATCACGTTGGCCTGACCCAGCCAGAAGTGAGATCCGTGCCCCACACCCCACCCTGCCCCAGCCTTCTTCTAACTCTCAGGCCTTGGAGCAGGAATGATCTCAGATGTCTCCAGGCTTAGCTGTCCCCTGTCAGGGGAGGATTGTGGGAAACTCCTCTTTCTCTCTCTCACACACACACACCCCTCCTTTGCCGGCAAGGCTGAGCCACAGCCTGCAGCCCACCCTGGGGCTGACCTCGATTTGGGTTCCACAGGACAAGGTAGCTGGCGGGAAACTGGGGACCATCTGAGGCCACAGGACAATCTGGCTGGATGCTGGAACACCCCAGGGGATGTTAGAAGTGACCCCCACCTGAGCCCCAGCCCAGCCCACCATGTTCCAAAGTGCTCAGGTGGTTCTACGGAGCAGCCAAGGCTGAGATCTAAGAAATGAGAACAGGCTGGGACGGGCAGGATGGTGGCCGGGGGCAGCACAGGGGAGAAGGCCAGTGGGCCCCCCGCCTGACTGTGCAGCGTGTCTGCAGCAGGGAGGGGCTTCCCCACACCCCATGAGCCTTCCAGATGCGGGACCCTTGATGTAAGAGATGGGAAAACTACCAGAATTCCAGGAAACTCACTCAACGAAGCCGAGCCCCCTGGTCTTGGAGAGCTCTGTCCAGCAGAACTTGCTAGAGATGGTCGACTCCTTCTGAGAGCTTGCAGGGGTCCAAGCCTCAGAGAGCCCGAGGGACACCGGGCCATCGCTTGTCTACCTCTCCATAGCTTTTCAACTCCTCTTCCAGCCTGTCCTGCCTGGCAGGTTAGAGTGTTCTCAACCGAGGTTTGTTTACTTGAACTGAATTATCTCACAAAGGTCAACATTTAATGATGACTCGAATAGGGGTCCAGAGGAGACAGAGCTGGGAGAATCCATTTCCCACAGCTGTATGCCAACATCTGCCCGTGTGAGAAAGCAGAGAGGGCGCTAGACAGACGGGGCAGGTGGCAAGGGCCCTTGGTAATCGGGGCTGGGGACAGCAGACCTGACCTGGTTCCGTGTGGCGATGCTGTGAGAGATTACCTTGTAATGTGCGAGCTCTTTAACGTGATGTTGTGGATTAAACATGAAGCTTCCCTGCACACACAGAACACAGTGCAAACCGTGTTATACACAGACAGTGTAGTTCATCTTTGCAGACTCCTCTGGGAGGGGAGGGGAGGCCGGGGGGAGGCACTGAGGACTGGGGGGCCTCCTTGCTCTCACACAGGCTGGCACTCTCAATGAGCATGGCCTTGGCATCCCAGGTTTCGGGCACACCCAAAGCTACTCCACCTGGTGCTCCGCGTGCTGCAGGGCCTCGTGGGATCACGGCGTTCCAGCAAGTACACAGAGCTGGGTGCTGTCTCTTTAAACAGTGGAGGCTGAGCTGCTCTCAGGCCACCATGACACATCCCAGCCTCAGACCAGCCCCTGCATAAACTGGATGGGCGCCTGGTCTGGCTCCAGTTACCGGGAGCACCACCAGGGAGCATCTCGGGGAGCCTGGCTGGAGTCAGTGGGGCTAGATTCGCCAGCTGCTGGTCTCTCAGCTGCCCTGCCCTGGGGGGGCTTATCTCCGCATTCCTCACGTCTGACTGCAAAGAAAGCCGCGTAGAGGAAGGGGTTACACTGCTTGGCCTGGTGAGTTGTGTTGGCAGACCATGCCTCTGAGTGCGTGTGTTTTTGCTTTACAGAGAGCTGCCCAACCCCACCCCCTGCAAGCCACAAATGGAGAGGACCGCAGGGGAGACTGCGCGCATGTCGGACTTGACCAGAGAGTCAGAGGAGTTCTCAAGTCCTTGGTTAAGAGCTGGATAGATACTCTGGCTGCGGAGGCGAGAAGGGCCGTTGGGGAGTGTCTAGAAACCCCAGTACATCCACAGTTGCAGGGAAAAAGGAGACCAGCTGTGCCTTCCAGCTCCGCGTACACACTCGGCAGGTGACCAGAGATTGATAAGCAGGTTAGGGAGAGAAGCTTCCACCTGTAGCAGAGCTCTGGCTGGGCCCCGGTGTGGCTGAGCTGGTGAGACTGCACTGGGTGGGATCCCGTCTGCTGCCACTGGGGGCTGAGCAGGCAGGAGGCAGGCGAGAGGCAGTGAGGTGCCCAGCTGATGGGGACCGGTGGATTCGGGTGTCCGGAAGCTCGCAGTGTGGTGTGACCTGGTTACTGACTAAAATATTGGGTTCAACAGAAAGGAAGAATTGAGCTGCACCTTACAACATGTGCACTTTTCTAGATACATACACTTCATTCAGAAGTCTAGTTGGAAAAGAGAGAAAGGAAGTTCTGAGTTAGATATGCTAATATTTATAAAGTGCTTAGAACAGTCCATGGCGTCCGGGTACATGGTGATCACATCCATGTCGGTTAAATACAGAGAAAGTCTGAATGGCGTGAAGGGAGACAATGATTCCCAGGGCAAACCTGGCCCTGAAGATGACCCAGGAGGAGAGAGGTCACTTCCATTTCTTCAGTTAGTCCTCTGTCTACATGCATGCTTTCACTCTGTGGGATTTATAAGCGATTTTAGTTCAGGGGGTCAGGCTTGCCTTGAAGGGTTGTTGTGAGGATTAAATGTGAAATAATAATAGTAATAGTGACAATTTACTCGGTTCTGATCCTTTATTTTGCTCCAGACACAATGCTAATTGCTTCACACACTGTCTCCTTTAATGAACACAACCCTTTAAAGTGGGCATTCTTAGTCCTGTTTGAGGATGAGAAAACCAAAGTTCCCCAAACGTCAGCTAAGTCCCCGAAGCCACCACTCTGAGTGAGCCGGCTTATCAGGTTGGTCTGAGCCCAGAGCCAAAGCACCTGACCACGGGGCCACACGACCCCTCACCGACCACACCTGCGTCCTGCTAAGGTGCCTGCCATGCAACAGGCAGTGAGCAAAAACTTTACAAGTATTCTTCTTTTTAATATAAGAATTTTAAAAAGGCCATCGTTTGAAGAATTTTTCAAATTATTTTTACTTAAAGATAAGAACATACAACGAGCTACGATAAGCAGCTGCTTTGAAAGAGTAAAATGAGTAGAATGGCGTGGTTTGCGCCACTGAGAGCGATGAGGTTTGGTGACACACATGCTAGCAGGTGGAGGTGTCTCCTGTGCGAACCGCTGCGTTAGCATCACCTGCCGGCTCCCGGTCCTGCAGCCAGGCCCCCAGAGCGGCTTGATTGCGCGCACCTGCCCTGCGCCCGGAAGGGCTATCCTCTCTCCCCGTGACCCTGGGCGGGCCGCGTTCAGGCGGCTATGAATCAGCTGATTTCTCTGGCTGCTCTTCCCCCACCTCAAATGGCCAACTCCCCACCCAGTGGCGGCCTGGGACGTCAGCCGAGGCTGGGCACCCAGCCAGGCAAACGCGCCTCGAGCATTCCCAGTTGTGGTCCGGATTTGCCTAGGCTAGGAGGAGGCCGACCCCAGGGCGCGCTGTCTTGCAGTGGGCAAGCCTCTCTCTCCTTCCGCCCCCAACTCTCACCCAAGCAGGCCCGCTAGATCGGTCCTGGGAATCCCAGGCACCCGGCGCCCGGCCTAGGCGCACACGGGACGCCGCGGGCGGCGGCGGTGCCGGTGCGCCCTGCTGGGACGCCAGGGCAGGCCAGGTGCGCCCGGACCCGGGAGGAGGGATGCCTGCCCACGCCGAAGTGCCACCTCCCCACTAACAGTGGGAGGCGAATCCAGGCTAGCTCCCCGCGTAGGCGCGGTCCGAATGCGTGCGCCCCGAAGCCCGGCGTCCGGCACCCGCGGGGGCGACCTCTGGCGGGCTTTTCCCACGTGGGCGGAGGGGGCGGAGGGCCCAGTATATCGGTCAACTCTTGATCTCCATGAACTCGGCAGAGCCAGGGAAAGCGGGGGTGGGGAAGCGGGGGTGAGAAAGCTCAGCGGCCTCCTAGTTTCGAGCAAAAGCCGCAGCGGTTTTGCAGTCATCGACTTTCTCCTAGGGCGCAGTTAAGGCCGAATAACTGTCTCCTACCCTCCCTCCCTCCCCACTGCCCCCTCCCCTCCCCGAGTCCCGCCCCCTGCACACGCTGACCCAGGGACACACCCTACTGCAGCGACGCAGACAGGGCGTAGTTCCCGTTAAAGGGGAACGCCGGGAGCCTCCCTCTGGCCCCTCGCTTCGCGCGCGCAGCCCCACAGCGCAGCTGTCTTTGCGGACGCCAGCAGCCGAGCGAACGCACCGAGTTTGTGCCAGAGGCCATTCTGAGGATCTCTGGGGATCGGGGACAGCTATCCCTTTGGGACGTAAGTGCGTTGATAGGGAAAGCAGAGGAGGTGGGCATCTTCCTTCGGCGACGCCAGAATGCGCGCGGAGCAGGCTCGGTCTTCAGGCTGGCGCGGTCCCCGAGCTTTCCGTCCCGAGGGCGGGCAGACCCCTGCCTGTCTCGCGTCGTTCCTCTGGGGCCTGGAGGGATACCGTGTGGCGTGCCGGATGGTCTGTGAACCTCGAGGGGCGCGGGTGGCGGTGTCCGGATGTGGGGCAGGGGCGGAGCACTTTTCGCCTCCCTGGAGAGGCGCCTACTCGGAGACTCCTTGGCAAAGCAGTCCCTGCGGTGGACATCTCGGGGGGGTGCTGGATCCCTGTGGCCCCCCGACTTCTAGCCATATACCCGGTCACCTTTCTCTTAGACCCGCTCGGCGTTAGGATCACTGGATTTAATTTAAACCTGCTGGGAGACATCAGAAAACCGGGCTTATTTCTCCCCGCACTGCTCACGGTTTTTTTGAATGTGTCGCTTAAGGAGAGGAACGGAGGGGCCTGCGATTGGGTACTTTTAAAACTCTGTTATTGAAACGTTGTCTCTGGCCCAAGACTCCCCCAAACGCAGCTGGTCCTCACAAATATGAAAGCCCGCTCTCAGGTCAGCGGGGTCTTCAGTCCCTAAAGTCTGTAAAATGTGGGGCGAGGACCGCACAATCGCGGCTAGATGTCGCGCCGGCTCCGACCGGCCGTATTTCTTCTGGAACTCCACCCATCACCTCCGCCCCCTCTTCCCAACGGACCGCTGCTCTCCCCCACCCAGGCTCCTGGGCCCCTGTCCCGGGAGCGCAGCCGCCCGGCCCG